ATATAATTTCCGTAAGTACCTGCAGCTTCGGAACTGAGGAAAAGTCATCGAACGGAGGCCCTGTAAAGCCCGAACACTCCAGAGCGTCGGTGGACGCCTCTTTAAGCAAAGAAATTCCAAACTGACCTGAGAAATCCAAAAATGCTTTCCGGCATAACAGCAAAGCACTGGATCACAGGAAGTAGGAAGTTCCACCTTCCCCTGCATTGCTTGATTTTATCACGAGACGAGACGGGGAGCGCGCCATAGCCGTTGCTAACCTTTCGCCATCTCTTGGCATACCAGTATAACCCCTCCATTTTTCCCCTCCACACCTTCCACGAGTTCAGTGATCCCCCTACCCCACATGATTTTGCGCCCCCCATCCGCTCTTCTTGGTAGATCTTTTATCAGGTCCTCATCTCCCCATCTGTCATCCTCCCAACTCTCATCCTTTCAACTTGTTAGCCAGAAGTTTGCTAGACAACAGCTTTATACTCAAACAAGAAAATACTCCTCTAAGAAAGCAAACATGGCTCCTCAACTTGATGGTTACTTTAAGCAGTGAGTATATCCTTGCTTATCTGCTTATCGCCCCCGCTGCCAAAATCAGCTACTTTGTTTATTCACTTGTTGGTTATGGAGCATTACTGATAGGTATTTAGGGTAGATTTGATGGCGGATTCGTTTATCAATCGTTAGTATTCACCTATAATAATGTTTGTTTTTCTAGTTACGGGCTTCGTGACTGAACACGGTTAGGCCTTCGCTCCGCCGTTGCTATCCCATCCGTCTCGGCTGATCCGGATTTGCGCCCCAAGGTCGTTGCCATGGCTGATTTTCTCGAAAAGGAGCTCACGGCCCTCGGTGCTTCCGTTGAGAAACGTTTGCCCGGGAAGCAGCCCGGCCATCCTAACCTTGACCTTCCTCCTATCCTTCTAGGTAGATACGGCAATGATGCCAAGAAGCGCACCATCCTGGTTTATGGACATTACGATGTCCAGCCTGCTTTGAAGGAAGATGGATGGGCTACAGAACCTTTTGATTTGACTGTGGATGAGAGAGGTAGAATGTACGGAAGAGGTAGTACTGATGATAAGGGACCTGTGTGAGCTCCACTCCTCCTTCCTGACCTTAATTGGATAATACACTAATGTTTGCTCACAGCCTCGGCTGGATCAATGCTATTGAGGCCCATCAGAAGTAAGCATATAATTATTTTAAGCTCTCAATACGGGTTGTTTTCTAACAAACCTTAGAGCTGGCGTTGAGTTCCCTGTAAACCTTTTGATGTGCTTTGAAGGGATGGAAGAATACGGTTCTGAAGGTCTCGACGACGTGATCAAAGATGAGGCAAGTAAATTCTTCAAGGACGCAGAGGCTGTCTGCATCTCCGACAACTACTGGCTTGGAACTGAGAAGCCATGTTTGACATATGGCCTCCGGGGATGCTCCTACTACTCCCTTACCGTTTCGGGACCTGGTCAAGATCTACACTCTGGTGTCTTTGGTGGAACAGTCACCGAGCCCATGACAGACCTCGTCAGATTGCTCGGAACTCTAGTTGACAACAAAGGAAAGATCTTGATTCCTGGTTTGAACGAACTTGTGGCACCTTTGACCGACGATGAGAAGAAACTCTACAAGGATATCAGTTTTGAGATGTCAGACCTGTACCAGAGTCTTGGCAGCGAGACAAGCATCCACCCCAATAAGGAGGATACTCTGATGGCCCGGTAAGTTGAAGAATATAGCACTGCTGTCATTCGTGATTTGATATATCTAACTATAATACATAGATGGCGTTTTCCATCCCTTTCCATCCATGGTGTTGAAGGAGCTTACTCCGCCCCTGGAGCAAAGACTGTCATTCCCGCCAAGGTTATTGGAAAGTTCTCTATCCGCACAGTCCCTAACATGGAACCAGATAAGGTAGATGAGCTCGTCTTTAAGTTTGTAGATGCCGAATGGAAGAAGCTTGGGTCCAACAACACCATGAAGTGCGAGCTCCAACATTCTGGCAACTGGTGGGTTGCGAGCCCAAAGCATTGGAACTTCTCTGCCGCTAGTAAAGCTGTTGAGAAGGTTTTCGGTGTCCAGCCAGACTTCACTCGTGAGGGTGGCAGTATTCCTGTAACATTGACCTTCGAGCAAGCTACTGGGAAGAACGTCTTGTTGCTTCCAATGGGTAGCAGCACTGACGCTGCCCATTCCATCAACGGTAAACTTCCTATCTCTTCTTTGCGCCCAATGTGCCATACTGATTTATTACAGAAAAACTCGACAAGAGGAATTACATTGAGGGAACCAAGCTTCTGGGGGCATACCTTCATTACGTCGCAGAGGAGGCACAGGTTTAGCTGAATTTTTGGAAAACCCTTCTCGTAGTTTATCATTTTTAAAAAAAACTATACCAACAACCTATAGCTTGTTAAACATGATTAAATGTAGCGTTAATCTTAACGCACGGTAAGAATTGCTTGCAAATAGCTTTTAAGAGGCCTCACTAAATTCTTCCGATTTGTAAACCGAGTGATTCTGCATGACTATAAAGGGTTAAGAGTACCTTACATGTGCGGTCGTCGTACCGTACCGTGTATTCAGGGAGAGACATTGAAAGACTTTATCCCCGAAGACCGGTCACTCCTAAAAAATCTAACAGCAGTCTTTTCTTTACACCAATAACACTGCGCATTAATTTAACGCCGAAACCTCCCTCCGGCCTGACACCAAGAAGAGCCGTGGCACCACAAAAAATCACCAGCACTCCAACATCGAGGCATGATGTCCTACAAGCAAGCAATACTACGTTAACCACATGAAAACCCAGAAATGTACCCCCCCCTCTTTCCATCTGCACACCCACACACTTTTGGTAACATAGTCTAACCCCTGTACTCGTACAACCCTATGAAATGCCGCCGGTACGGTACTGTACATAGCATAGTTGACATTTACCCTGCCCAGCTGGCGCTTAATCATCATCATCCATCCATCCATCCATCCATCCAAGACCCACACCTCACCGCCGCCACCGCGTCGGGTGGTACAAGAACCCTTACGCCACCTATGCTACCTACACTAGTCTATCGTATAGTACGGTAGTTGATATATTACCCGCTGCTGGCTTACGCTGCTTTCGCGGTGTTCGCGCCGCTTTGGAGGGAGGGAGTGCATGGGCTGTCACTCGTATTCGGGTTTCGGTTTGGGTGGGGAGAGAGAGAAGATGCGGGGAAGATATTTTGTGTGTGCAGGTAACATATCGGACCGGGGAAGTGGATCAGACGCGGAAAGTGAATCACCTCGTATGGGCAAATTTTCCTCCAAATTCTCACTGCGAACCAGACGTTCTAACTTTGATCAAACGAAAAGCGAATTTAACATACTGCACTATTCAAGGGTGATGATCAAATACACTTCGGAATTATTATTATTATTATTATTATTATTATTATTTCCTCTGGAAGTGTTGGATGTCAATTGAGATTTCCTGATTTTGAAAAAAAGATTTGGTGCGTTTTAGCTGATTCACTTCCCTGTCTGATCTGTTTCCTGGATAAGGTGAGATGGGGTAAGTCGAATACGGTATGGTATGGTATGGTATTGTCGGACTCGTGGACGGCCACGTTATCAATTACGACCAGAGGACGCGGTCTCAATATGAGAGGCGTGGAGCGGGTCTTCATCATGTATTTAAGCCCACTGGTTTCTCCTGTATCCTATGAGCAACAACGTCCCTCTCGGCACCAAACCATAGTCTCTCTCTCACAGTATGGTATGGTAAAGCTTGGTTTGATGACCATAAGTAGGAAGTTTCGGGAATTGGGAGGAAAGAAGGAAGGAAAGAAGGGCACCGAGACAGAAGTCTGAAATGAGACGTGTCTCTACCGATACGGTACCGAGATGGTGATGTCTTGACGGTAAGAATGGGATAGATGATATTTCTAGAAAAGGTGGGATAGTTTGGTATCGAATGGTAAGTATGACATATGATATCGGTATGGTAGCTTATCATCGGGACCAAGTTGAAGCCGATAATCTAACTTAAGGTAAGAATTCCTGTGGTCGGCTTCTACTCGGCAGTACAATTACTCGCGCGGCCAAGTCAGCTGAAGCCGGACGGACACTTAGAGTGGTAATTCCCATACCCGTACAAAGCATCTGGTTTCAATTCAGCCGCGCCAGTAGAATTACTGGGGGGAGGGTTTGATTTATTTTGAGCTTCTTTCCTTTCCTTTCTGGTCTGCTCCTAATTGGGGAGGCGGATTCGCCATTCAAGCTTATTGTATCATACCGGCTAGGTAAAAGTTGAAGATGCCATCAGTTGGGTTGCACCGTATTCTTCCGGGTGTGGTGGAGTCGTGCTTCGCGGGAATGGGCTGCGACGAGCACAGTATTGTACCAGGTTAAAGTTATTGAACGCCCGATTGAAGAGGTAGGACTCTGGGGGAGTTGGAGATACTCCCGTGTATGATGCTAAAAAATAAAATCAGAGCTTTAAGAGAGCGCTTAAACTGAATTCGCTCAAATATAAAGTTCCAAGAACACTCCTCCCGTCCTTGTCTCCCTACGGGACATAAGCTGTTTGCTATAGGCGAAAAATCAAGAAAATAAATAGAAGCAAAAAAAAAAAAAAACAAGAGGAAAAAAACACTAATTTTAGCAAAAGATCTTGTTACAAGCTTGCAGCAAACACTATGGATTTTTATAGAGCGAATTGAGGGGTTTTATCATGACTTTGGACAGGTCCAAAAAAGGACAGACACCATTCCGCTTCCAACAGTGCTTCGCTAGGATGCAGCGCACCACATCACGAGCGAGCTTCCACGTGCCAAAGAGATACGGGTAATGCGACAATTAGAGTTGTATTTCATCATCATCATCATCATCATCATCCGCTGAATGCTAAAGCGCGCGGTGCCTTGGCACTTGCTCGGTGCAATTGTAATCAAGCATTCCCGCAATGCACAATCGGCAAGGGACATTTGTTTTATTAACGTTATATTTCTAGACTCTATCAAGTCAAGGTGGTGGAGTGGTTAACACGTTCGCCTGCTATTATCACTTGGTAAAGTTAAGCGGATGCCTTCGGGCGCGCAGGTTCGAATCCTGTCCTTGACGCATTTCTTTTTTTTTTCTTTTTTCCTCTTTGCACAATCTTGCTAATGGATTTCTTGAAGGGAGGGATGGGTGAATCACATCACACCACATCACATCACATCACATCACATCATAATTATGGCAATCAATGTCAATGTTAATGTTGGTAGAGTGGGGTAGTACCAGTACCTGTGTTACAGAGAGTACGGTAACTGGACAGCGGTTTTTGCCGAGAAGAAATGCAAAATGCTTGTTTTTTTTTTGTTTTTTTTTGGTGTCTTATCTCGGGTTATTATCGGCGGGGGGTGGCTAGGAGGAGACTACGGTACAGTACCGTACAGACATGATCCCGATGAATATCTTCCCAGACTCGGATTAACCGGTGCCACCACACTTTATCTTGGGTTATAGTTACCGCTGCCAATATTTCTTCCTACTCGTACGGGAATCGGATTTATTTTGGAAAGGGTTTTTGCGGGCCGGTAGTGCCCGGCCGCTAGCACTCGTACCGTACTTGTACCTATAATCTGGCAAAAAAGTCGCATTGGAGCTAGAGGGGAACTAAGGCAACCGAGCCAATAGGCGGGAGAAGGAAGAGCGCCGGCTTGCCACGGTTTAAAACATATATAGAGAGCGGCAATTGGGCGGGGGTTCGAGAAAATCTACGCTTTAGCGCTAATCCGAGTATGGTGCTGAGGAAGTCTAGAGGTGATGAGACTATATACTTGGCAGATTCAAAAGTATTCGGAAATCGTCCGTGCACTTGACGCCAAGTGTTAAAGAGATTGGGCCAGATAAAAAACATATAGGTTTGAAAGCGAGAACATAGAAAAAAGTGAAAATGGTGAGAGATAGGTTTAGAAAGAGAGCAATAGGATTAAGTAGTTTATGACTGAAATTTATTGCCGCCATTGGCAGCCACGCACTTGATCATTATATCCCGGGTATGCAGAATAAGTGTGAAAAGATAATTGAGAGCTTGCCTCAACCTTACAGCTTGGCACCAAGTGCACGGATGATTTCCGAATACTTTTGAATCTGCCAAGTATATATATACAAGGGCAATGTTATAGTTATTTATTAACCCATGGTGATGTTGTAGCAAGGAGTGTAGCTAACCGTCTAGCATGTTGTTGTTTTTATGGCATGTATGATCTTCTTATGTAAGCTTCTCAAGCTTTCTCTGCGCTGCGCAGTCTTTTTTTTTTTTTTTTTTTTTTTTTTTTTTTTCGGGAAAGGTGAAGGTGGGATTGAAGACTATTACGGTATTTTTGTTATTATTATGGAAGTGTATTTTGGGCACTTTTGTTTTCGGTAATCTGTATTACGGTATGTACGGTAGAGGGAGATATATAGCTGCAGGTACTGGGTAGGTAGGTAGGTAAGTACTCGTACGCCATGACGACGCTCAATATCGAGTGATCGGTATATTGAATTCGGTTGGTCGGGGGGGGGGGGGGGGTTCGGTGTCGAGTGGGAGAGTTGAAGCTTGACTGAGGCGCTTTGTACTGTGTGATACGGTACGGGGGGTTGCCTTGTTCTGGCCGCCGCGTGGGTAGTGTAGTGTCCCGTAGTTTTGATGATGACATGGTTATGGAAGTTCGTCTGAACTAACATTTGCAGCCTTACTTACTTCAAAGCACGACAGCTCAGCTGTCAGAGCCTACTACGGTACTGCACTTACTATACTATAATACGGTAGTAATATAGGTAGGGCAAAGCATTACGAACAGAACCAGAGAACCGTTTTTTTATTATTTTTAATTTCCCACCTCCCTTCCTTCCTCCCCTTCTTCCCATCTTCTCGAACGAACAAAAAAGTAAAGCTTCCATTAGGTTGGTCGGTCGGTCACAGGGCACTTGTGCAAGTACTGTAGTTTAAATATCCGCCTCGCCGCTTCTAGCCTTCCTCTCCTTCCTTCGCACCCCAATCGTTAGATAAACACGTCAGCGTACTCTTACGCTGCCCTCCTACTACCATAAGTAATAATCATAGCAAAATAATTATCATACATTGTACCCCTCTCTGGAGGGGACAGTACGGTAGGTACTCACGAGACTAAAGATTGAGTTTGTGATAGGGTGTTGTTGGTAAGTATCATCGTATCGTATCGTATAGAGAGGGGAGGAGGAGGAGAAGGGAGACCCCGCACATGGCTGCAGTATGGTGGCCTTTGGTACGGTACTGTATTGTGCTGTGGTTAGTGGGTGGTGTTGCAGGGCTGGAATGGAATAATTGGTTGGTCGGCTGGTTAGCTAGGGGATGTTTTGCTTTAGGGTATGGCGATGAGATGATTGGTTGGTTGGTGATGATTGTGAAGTCAAGGTGGCTTGTTGTGAAGAGGAGGGAGGGGCCCAGGGGAGAGGCTTCTTCTCCCTTTTGGTTTTTGGTACGGTACTAGAAGTAGGCTGCCATTCCGGTACCGTACCGTACTCATATCAAACGGTGCAAGTAGGATAGCTTACTTGGAGCCTTGAGGTGAGGTGAGGTTGCTGTGGTTTCAGTAGACTACTCAGTAATAGGGACGTGGAAGGCTGAGGCCAAAGTGAGGTGAGGTGAGTTTAAGAATTATTTTTTTTATTTTTATTTTTATTTTTTCAAATCGGGGATTTTGGAATTGCTCAGTCTTCCCCGTCTGTCTCTCAGTTCTGTTTTGTCTGCCTAGCTACGATACATACCTGGTCAGCGATGGGTGGATGGGAGGGAGGAATGAGGGGAGATTTTATTTTTGTGGTCGTACAGATTTGTACCGATGGATGGTGTGATGTGAATGCTTGTGCTTATAATAAAGGGTTGTTATCATATCATGGGCTTGTTTTTTACTTTTTTTATTATTTCTGACTACGGTGTGTACTGTACTGTACTGTATGTATGTATGGCATAGATGATGGGGATACTTGTGCTGAAATATATTCGTCGTTAAAGGGATTCTGCTGGTGGAGTGGAGTGGAGTGGAGTGGAGAGGAGAGGAGAGGAGAGGAGAGGAGGGGAGTCTGCAGTTGTGATGAAAGTCATCACCGAATGAAATGGCGTCTTTTGGGGGCAAAGAAGGGTCGTCGGTTAAATCCTAGACAAATGAATTCATTGGAAGGAGGGGAGGGTCAGCTTTCCGACTTCCGGGCTAGTCCTATTTCCTTTGTTCAAGCCTTCTTCTGATGGGCTCAAAGCGCGACCACCGAAACTGGAAGCTGGGTCTAAGATGAGATTATACGTCATCCGCCACACCCTTTTCCTTTTCCTTTTTTTTTCTTTTTTCTTTTTCTTTTTTCCTCTCTTTCCTCTCTTTCCTCCGTGAGGATTGTGTGAATTCCTCTGAGTGGTTCATGGAAAGAAGGGAGGCGAGAAAGGTTCACAATTTCTCACTGACGCTTTATTAGAGGAGGAAAAATGTTTCGACAAATCGGAACCCCTCAATCTTTCTCTGAGTACTCTAACGTGTGGCTTTCTGTGTGTCCGTGGGTTGGGTTGATTATTGCTGCCTCCTCTGCTCCCCCACCCCGGGCAACTTTAGCATAAGTAGGAAAGGGTCGTTAATGTTGACTGATGATGCTTGGGTTCCCTACAACGTCACCGTCATTCTTCCATATCCCTCCCCCCTCCTTTCACACCATAGGTACTGATCATCCAGTCAGTAATAGTACAATTTCTGCCCGGGTTTTCCTTTTTTTACTCCCCTGCAAGCCCGCAGCACTTGCCCGCTCCTTCTTTGAAATCCCTTTTTTATCCCCCTCTGATTTCTTTGCAAGTTACGGGACAACGAAAAAGTCGTACCGTGCCCGCCCGCCACGGACTAAAACAGCTCTCGTGCCATCTCCCTGCTTGTTGGAGGGGAAAATCCTACCACCCAGATCACAAGTAGATAGTTACCACAAATCTATCTCTATCTCTGCCTGTCCAAAGAACTACCGTACCTCATTCACCCCCAGTTCTTTTATTGTCATCTGTGCGCGCGCTGTCGCTTAATTTTTGGGTGCGGATTTGCTGTCTGATCTTGGCTCTGTGACGGTGGTTATTTTTTTTCTTTTTCTTTTTCATTCTACTTTCCCATATTTCATTTTGCTCCTCGCGATTCTAAGCATCATTTTTCTCTCCAAAACCTCCGGATTTTTTTTATATCTCTCTCCAAGTTGAAATATATTCAATCAAAAGGTAAGTAAGGCTGGATCGGGGTTATATTGAAAAGCTAAACAAAGAAGAAAAAAGGAAGAAATAAAGAATTGAAAGAAAAGGAAAGAAGTAGTGGAGAAAGTGAAGAAAAAAGGTAAGAAAGAGGGGAGAATAAGAAGGAGAAGAAGAATAATTGTGTGACAAGAGTTGGTAAGGTTGTGGGCTGTTGTGCAAGACAGCTGCTTGGTGGCAGGTGGTGGTTCGGTTTGGGAGGGTTTCTTTTTTTTGGTTGCTCTGCTGCTGTCGTTGCTGCTGCTTGGTCTCTCTTCTGCCTCGAAGGGAAAAAAGGGAGGAGAAAAGGAGGCACACGAACTTTGTTTCGAAAGCACCCACTACGTCACCTTCGTCACTGTCACCTTCGTCAGCGACCCCCTATCGTCCTCGAAAATTATTGAAGCCCCCAACAAGCAATCCACAACAGCAACGCCAAATAGTACCTGGATTCACTGCAAATTGAGAGGCGACGAGCCTTTTGACGGCTGCAGGCAAGCCATTACCAAACTCTCGGTTCCCGCTTGTTATTTACTCAATTTTTGCGGGAAGGAAAAGGGTTGACAATTTTTACTTCATTTTCCACCAAAAAGTAAAGGTAAAACAGCGAAAGGGAAAAAGAGCCACAAGGAAAAATCGAGCGCGAAGAACAAAGGACCATACTGTATTCAACGGATCCCCCACTACTGCTATTCATACAATACCTCGAACTCTAGTTTAGAGAGAGAGGGGGGGAGAGAGAGCCGAGCCTACCTCGAGGAAACCTTTCAACAACCCCCGATATACATTATACAGTGAGTACAGTTCACTTACAAACTTCTCACACACAATCTATTCTTTCACATTAGTAAACGCAAACCGC